AGAGGAGGAGGAGGCTTAGGAGAGGCATCGGGCACCGGCGGAGCAACCTTGCGGTAAGCATATATTTTTTGTCAAGATGAAATTATTTCTTTTCTCATTAATTTGGATCACTGAATTTCGATAATTTAAAATTTATAGTTTGGAAAAGAAAAATAATTTAAAGTTTAATATCAATTTAATTTATTTATACTTCTATAAAGATCTTTTTTGAAAATTATTTATTAATTATTAATTATTTAATAAATATCTAATTGAAAAACAAGTAGATTCGGTATATGTAAAAATTTTTAAAGCATCTATTGTTTCGAGCGCTGCTATAATTTAAACATTCTCTTTGTATGTTACAGAATCATCGTACGTTGCAGATTAACTCCGCTGTTGCGCATCGAGTCGGTGAGTAATAAATTTTTTATACTGGGGTAACAAATCTGTGAAACTTATATTAAACTATTTTTATGTATTTATTATTAAAGTATTGCAGTTGGATATATTTTCATAGATTTGTTGCTCTAAAATGACTAGATTAAACAGTTTAGGATTATATATTTAATCTTGGTATCTATCTTGGACACTATTTAATGATTTATTGTAATGCACTTGTACAAACACAGATAGAGTTCTTTATATCAATTTCATTGCTTTATATTACTTTTCATATTTCATTTGCGAGATGTATTAATTGCTGAAAATTATCAAACGATCTCGCAAGAAAGTATAATTAAAATACGTAAAATAAGTTTTTTAAAGAAATTAAATATTTATATAACATATAAAATAATATAAATATTTTAAAAATAATAGTTTAATTAAATATTTTTGGAAATATATTAATATATAAAATTTATTAAGTTTATTAAATTTTTCGAAATAAATAATTAACAATTGAAATGACACAAAATCGTGTAAAAGAAGTTCAATTATTCAAGTATTCTTTAAAAATATTAAATTTTTATTTTAAATATTTTTATAGTATATTTTTCTCAATATAAATGAAGAAAGATAAATGGAAATATAAAATATAAATATAACTATGACTCTCTAAGTTGGATTACTATGGCTTAAAGACCATAGTAATCTTCGAGGCCCGATCGCCACTGTCTGAATTGACTGGGCATTGGGTCCAGGACTATCCTAGACTGAGCATACTAGACCAACAGCCCAGTCGGGGGGCAGGGATTAATTGGAGGTCACGGTCCTCCGACCTATCCTGAGCCCACATTCTAGACGTACGAGACCTTCGGGAAATCTCTATTGCGTCTATACTGCAAGTTGCCCAATGGAGGCTTAAAGTAGTCTGAGAGTAGGCATGTACTCTCGCCTTCCGGAGGAAACGTGCCCTTGCAGAGAAGGTTTGTCAGGTGTCCTGGCTTTACGAAGTCCAGTGCGCCGGGCTGACGTTGTTGTTTGGACCCGTGAGTCCTAGCGGCCTGGAAACCGCGTCGTGCTGGTGCCTATTGATGTTTGGGCATGTGTCGTGAGGGTTGGAATGAAAAGAGAGTCATAGTTTATATTTATATGAAATAAGAATATCAATGAACATATTATTATGTGTATTTTTTTATTTATTACCCATCTTTCCTCTTCCCATATTTTAATACCAAGATTAAATATTTAAATCGATGCATAAAAGATATATATATATATATATG